TCAGATATGCAGATGACACCACCCTTATGGCAGTTGTTCCATATAAGGTTCTAACTGTTGCTTCTTAACTAGCATATAGGTTTCTCAGAGACAGATAAGATCTCTCTAAGAGCTTTCCAGTTTGTTATGATCCACACAGTCGTCAAAGGCTTTAGTATAGTAGATGAAACAGAGGCAGATGTTTTTCTGGAATTTCCTTGCTTTCTCTATGATCCAGTGAATGTTGGCAATTTGGTCTCTGGTTCCTCTGCCTTTTCTAAACTCAGCTTGGACATCTAGAATTTCTCAGTTAACGTAATGCTGAAGCCTAACATGCAGGATTTTGAGCATAACCTTACTAGCATGGGAAATGAGTGCAACTGTCTGGTGGCTTTAACATTCTTTTGTACTGCCCGTCTTGGGAATTTGGATGAGGATTGGTCTTTTCCAGTCCTGTGGCCACTGCTGGGTTTTCCAAATTTGCTGATATATTGAGTGAATCACTTTGATAGCATCATCTTTTAGGAATTTAAATAGCTCTGCTGGAATTCCATCACCTCCACTAGCTTTATTGACAGCAGTGCTTCCTAGGGCCCACTTAATTTCATACTCCATACTTCATACTGGCTCTGGGTGAGTGACCACACCATCATGGTTATCCAGGTCACTAAGATCTATTTTGTATAGCTCTTTTCTGGGTATGCTGGACTATATAGGCTGCTATTAATACCAAGCAAATAAAATAATTGCTCTATTCATCTGGGCAATTTTTATTTCAAAATGTGATCTATGTAAGGGTGTAGATGTCAGCCTAATTATCCTATTATGGACATAAGGGAGACTTAAAATCAGTACATGGTGCCTACACCTGAGCCTCGATGTTCCAATCTACCGTGTAGCATCAGCCATGGAGGGAGAAGTTCTACTTTATTCTAAGAAGCGTGTGAAACTGGTCGTGATGGCTTAGCAATTGATTGGTTTTTCTCTAAACTAAGAGCACCAATGTTTCCTGAGACGCCCTAGGGCAGGCTTTAACAAAAACCTAAGGTCTTAAGTGTCCCCCTAGAGCTCAGGGACTTCACAATCACCCTAAAAATGCTTTGAGCTCTGAGTTTGGCCCTGGGGATGTAGAGACTCAACCTTGGGCTTAAGAAGATCAGGCACCATGAAGGGACAAAAGAGGCAAGAAAAGAAGATAAATAAGATAAAAGGAACTTTAGGAAGCACTATTTTAAAGGTCAAAAAGAAACTGAGTTGGATCCCCACTAAAGAAGGTAAGAAACCTGTAAGGGGAAAGGGGGCAAAGGGATTAGCTCTGTGATTGTCACAGCCACAGCAGTCTAAGAGATGTATGGGGAATTGAGGTTTCATGCCTATCCTAACATGTGTGTAGGGGTGTGTGTGTGTGTGTGTGTGTGTGTGTGTGTACTGTGGAGGGGAGCAGTGCAGAGTAGTTGAATAGGAAAAGTTTGATTTTGTCCCTAAAGTACAAGGTAGAGGTATCAATAGGATACTGAGGCTCCTCCTTTAGGTTCACCTGACCAAAAAGGCAGGCACTAAAACTCTACCCCATTCACTGCCATCTATTCCCCTCTTGTCTAAAACCAAGCTGAGCTAGGAACATGTCTGGTAGTCCCACGACTGGGTAATCTGGCTTTCTAGTCTAGCTAGGATAGGAAAGCAAGAAATGCTGTTGGTTAGTCTTGAGAAAATTATGAAGAATCAATCCTTTGGTAGGATGAGATAGGATGTGCTCTGTCTGTAGAGTACAGGTTGTTGTAGATATCATATCTCATGCCCCTGCTGCTGTTGTGGTTTAAGAACAAGGCAGGAGAGTCCAGAGAGAATGATTGGGCTGCCATGAGCCCAAGAGACCTAGGGAGGGAGTGGAGCAAGTTAGAAACCAATGGGGCAATCTCATTATCTGCTTCTTCTCTCCATCCCTCAAAAAATGGTTTAGGCCAGTGGTTAGGGTACAATAGCAGAAAAACGTCACCTGTTTGAGGTGATGACTTGACAATTCTATCTTACTCTACATTGGTAAGACAATTTCACATGAAACTGGATTCAATTTTAAGTACCCCATACTTTAAATGAACCAAAGTGGTACTTTCCAGACAGGAGATGCTCTCTTTAGACTTCTTCAGGGCTATCTCACGACACAGGAAGCAGATGAGGTCTGTGCGGCCCAAGGAGCAGAGCAGGACACAGGGTTGGTTACTATAGAGGGAAAGAAAGTTTTTATTTACATTGAGCTCAAATCCATCAGTCATAGCAACAATACCCATTGATGAGTAGAGCTTTCTGACATTGTAAGTATGACACCAACACTTCGTGGGGATATTATAAAAGGGACTCAAGCATGGATTGAAAGACTTGGAAGGGAGGTTGGACTATATGACCTTGAAGGTATCTAGACTGACCTTAGTAGCAGTCTTGGCTTTCATCTACATATTATTTACATTTTCTTAGGTAAGATATAGGGGGAGGTAGTCAATGGGGAGCCTGGACACTATCATAGCTTAGGAGAAAAATTGAAATGGGTGGTGAAAGTAGTTGGTTAGTTGAAAAACAAGAGTCCACTCTCATGCTTCATACTGTCCCTTGTTACTTTCTTAAGCTTTTGAGAAAGTAACACTGGCCATGGAATAGTCACATTGATTGAATTGAACAAGCTCTGGAATGGAGCTTCAAAACCTGGGTTCTAGCTCAGTTTTGCCACTGAAATGCTCTGTGACTTTGAACAAATCATTTCTCCTCTCTGTGTCTCAGGTCTTGCCTCTATAAAATAAGGCTAACAAACCTTGAACTGCTTACCACAAAGGGATGTTATGAAGACCAGATGACTGTAGTGTATATGTAGGGATATATAAATTGTGACTGGGAGCAAGGAAGGTAAAGAAAAACTAACATGGTTTAAATACCTCTAATGCAGTCATCAAGACAGAATGGTACTGGCACAAAGACAGAAATATAGATCAATGGAACAGAATAGAAAGCCCAGAGATAAATCCACGAACCTATGGTCACCTTATCTTTGACAAAGGAGGCAAAGATATGCAATGGAAAAAAGACAACCTCTTTAACAAGTGGTGCTGGGAAAACTGGTCAACCACCTGTAAAAGAATGAAACTAGAACACTTTCTAACACCATACACAAAAATAAACTCAAAATGGATTAAAGATCTAAATGTAAGACCAGAAACTATAAAACTCCTAGAGGAGAACATAGGAAAAACACTCTCCGACATAAATCACAGCAGGATCCTCTATGGCCCACATCCCAGAATTTTAGAAATAAAAGCAAAAATAAACAAATGGGACCTAATGAAACTTAAAAGCTTTTGCACAACAAAGGAAACTATAAGCAAGGTGAAAAGACAGCCCTCAGATTGGGAGAAAATAATAGCAAACGAAGCAACAGACAAAGGATTAATCTCAAAAATATACAAGCAACTCCTCCAGCTCAACTCCAGAAAAATAAATGACCCAATCAAAAAATGGGCCAAAGAACTAAACAGACATTTCTCCAAGGAAGACATGTAGATGGCACAAAAACACATGAAAAGATGCTCAACATCACTCATTATCAGAGAAATGCAAATCAAAACCACAATGAGGTACCATTATACGCCAGTCAGGATGGCTGCTATCCAAAAGTCTGCAAGCAATAAATGCTGGAGAGGGTGTGGAGAAAAGGGAACCCTCTTACACTGTTGGTGGGAATGCAAACTAGTACAGCCACTATGGAAAACCGTGTGGAGATTTCTTAAAAAGCTGGAGATAGAACTGTCATATGACCCAGCAATCCCACTTCTGGGCATACACACTGAGGAAACCAGATCTGAAAGAGACACGTGCACCCCAATGTTCATCACAGCACTGTTTATAATAGCCAGGACATGGAAGCAACCTAGATGCCCATCAGCAGATGAATGGATGAGGAAGCTGTGGTACATATACACCATGGAATATTACTCAGCCATTAAAAAGAATTCATTTGAATCAGTTCTAATGAGATGGATGAAACTGGAGCCCATTATCTAGAGAAAAGTAAGCCAGAAAGAAAAAGACCATTACAGTATACTAACACATATATATGGAATTTAGAAAGATGATAACGATAACCCTATATGCAAAACAGAAAAAGAGACTCAGATGTATAGAACAGACTTGTGGACTCTGTGGGAGAAGGTGAGGGTGGGATGTTTCAAGAGAACAGCATCGAAACATGTATATTATCTAGGGTGAAACAGATCACCAGCCCAGGTTGGGTGCATGAGACAAGTGCTCGGGCCTGGTGCACTGGGAAGACCCAGAGGGATCGGGTGGAGAGGGAGGTGGGAGGGGGGACCGGGATGGGGAATACATGTAAATCCATGGCTAATTCATTTCATTGTATGACAAAAACCACCGCAATATTGTAAAGTAATTAGCCTCCAACTAATAAAAATAAATGGAAAAAAAATAAATACCTCTAATGAATTAGACACTGTAAAAGGCACTTGCACATGCCATTTCTCACTCACCTCTCACACTATAAGGTGAATAGTATTTCTTACTTTTCACAGATTAAGGACCTGAGGCTCAGAGAGGTGAAGGAATTTATACAAGGTTCACACAGCTATTAGGGAATGGAGGTAGATATGAAATATAGGACTGCCAGATACTGAGATTTGTGTATTTTCCCATTGTACCTTGCTGCTTGAACACATGATGGGAGATAACTGAATATAACTATTAGATCGTGGGGCCCCAAGAAAGTTTTAAAAAGGCCAGGATATAGAAATTGTTATTATGTCAACCTGGCTAGTTACTTGACAACTATAGGCCCAGATCTGATGTATGACTGACTGGCTCAAAATAATTAGCATTACCATTGTTGTCTCTCTATCCACCAGTGTTCTTAGTTTGCTGTTCCTCTACCCCTAGCCCTACTGAACTCCAGGGGATAATTCCTCTGGGGATGGTCACCAGTTTCTGGTCTTTCTGTCTTACATTTCCAGCTCACCTCAGTAGAGTTAAGGGCTGAGGACTTCAAAGAGCACAGTGAGCTCCGGCCTGTCTCCAGAGCTTTCAGCTGTATTTCCTGCTAACGTCTCAGCTCCAGTATAGGAAGCAGAACTGGAAAACTTTCGCAGGTCCAGCTCTGTGCACTCAATGGGAGTGTGGACCCAGTGGGAGTGGCTCTCTGAGGCACAGGAGGCCAAGGTAAAAGATTCTTGTATAGGGAAGCCATGAGTTGAGCTGCCGTTGTCATCTAGGATGGAATTAAGTGGCTGGGTCTCAAATATGCTTTCACTCAGTGGGGACTCAGGGCTGGTCTTCTGGCCAGGTGGTATGGGGAAGAGAGATTCCTCCTCTGCTGTCTCACCAGCCTCATACTGAAGCGAACTTCCTGAAATTTGAAACAGAAAGCCACTGCGTCAGAGGAAGCCAAAAGTAGGGGCTCTTCTCAGTGGAGCAGCTGGTCCTGAGCACAAAATTGGGAAATATCTGGGTACTAGTGCACTCCTTCCCATCCCTGGGAATCAGAGCACATAGCACCAGGCTAAGCTGACAAAGTTGAGAAATGCATTTACATTGGGGTATCAGATTGAGGCTACCTGGTGGTGGATCAGGGAAAAAGAATCAATTTCTCCAGAGAAAGAGAATCCTTTGTGGGAAGCAGGAGTTTAACAATCTCCACTCTAGATCTGGCAATGAGCTTTATTTCCTAGTGCTATTCCTGTGTATATGTTGTGTTATATGGCAAAAGGCACTTTGCAGGTGAAATTAAGATTATGGACCTTAAACAGGTAGATTATCCTGGATTACCCAAGTGGGCCCAATGTAGTCACATGTGTCCCTATAAAGGGAATATGGAGTAAGAAGTGTCAGAGAGAGTATCAGATATGTGAAATGAAAAGCTTTTGACCACCATTGCTAGTTTTGAAAATGGGAAGGGGTCATAAGCCAAAGAGCAGGTGGTATACAGAAACTGGGACTGGCCCTCAGCAAGGAAACGGGACCTCAGCCCTATAACTGCAAGGAACTGAACTCTTCTATCTTTCTGAATGATTCAGGAAGTATATTATCTTCTGAAGCCTCCAGAAAGGGATAAAGCCTTGGCAACACCTTGATTTCAGCCTCGTTAGACGCTAAGTGAAGATCCAGCCAAGCTTACAAAGCTTCTGATCTATGGAAAGGGTAAAATAATAAATGAGTGTTATTTTAAGCTATTAACTCTGTAGTAATTTATTATAGAAGTGATAGAAAATTAATATGCCTTAATGCATAAATCTGATTCAACATCAGGTTACAAATTAAGAGCCTATGGGATGTATATTTGTTTGACCCCTGCACTGTGGCATTGGTTGCTTTTAATTACAACTCATTGTTAGAACTTAACACTATTTCATACAAAGATTTAGGTTCTTGGCTTCTCTTGAAAATTCAGAAGGTTTTGAAACATTGAATATTCCTACATGGTAGTAAACAGCTAAAGCTGGGTAGTAGATTCCCTTTAGACAGGGGGTGAACTAGTCAGTTTGTCACAATTCCTACTCCTCTCTATTGTACCTTATATTGGATCCAATTCACATATTAATCTCACCCATACAAGCCCAGTATGCATATAAGTCAGTGACTTCTGATAAACACTTTCCCCAAATGAGAAAATGTCTTACCCTTTTCCCCCTGTGGAGACCATGAGGGAGCTACCTGCCCTTGTATCCTCAGAGAAGGGTACTGCATTATTATTTTGAAGACAGAGGAGGTGCCGAGAAAGGTTACCCATTTCTCCTCTCCTAAGGCAGGGGGAGGGAAACAGGCAGCTCTCAAATGTTGCTTCTTCTTCTTCCTTCTGGGCCCTGGAGCCAAAATGTTTCATTGCCCATGCCCAGAGATGGGTCAACTGCTCTTATCTGAGAAACTGGCCTCCAAAGTCAGAGACAAGATGGTTCACCCTGAGCCACAATGTTCCGGGAGACATCAGAGTAGAGGTGAGAGAACCAGAGTTTTGGAAGGGTCATAAAGGGATAAGAAGGAAATGGCAACCCACTCCAATATTCTTTCTTGGAGAATCCCATGGACAGAGGAACCTGGCAGGCTACAGTCCATGGGGTCGCAAGAATCAGACACGACTTAATGACTAAACCACAAAGGGATAATAGTGTTCCCCTTGTGCCCTGCATCCCTTGAAATTTTAGATTTATCTCCACTTAAGTGGTAGAATCAAATGTATCTGCTAGGCTTTTTGAAAATCATAAATCAGGCCCTAGATCTGAACCTGTAAAATGCAGGATCTTTACACAGAGAGGTTAAAAAAAGTTGTGTTGCTTTGGATCTAATATCCAGTAGACTGATGAGGAGTCCTAAGCATCTGTGTATCTATTAGAATGTATCTTCCCTTACTAAGTCAACTCCATTTACTAGCCTGGGTTCCTATTTTGGTGTTTCTATTTAGCTCTCAGCTCCCTTGAGGGCACTGAAGGTACACCAAGCCTCAGTACTCTTGATTAAATATTTAACCCCTTGTTTGGTTTTGGCCAGTCACCATCCCACCTCCCCCATATTTGCCCTCAGTGACCTGGACTTTCTGTCCCACATTCTTGGTTAATGGCTGGACTTGTGCTGAACACAGATCATGATGTTATTCTTAACTTTAAATCTCTTATGGGCTGGGCCATACCTCTTTGGGTATCATTACTGTCTGAGAAAAAATGTCTAATTTTGTCAATTCTTCTGGACACTGGACTCTGTTACTCACATCTGGTATATCACTATACTGATAACCGTCGCCTGAGACCTCACTCACTTTTATTACAGTCACGTCTCATTCCAGCCAGCCTCCCTCCTTTCCTGCTCCAGAATCTATATCTATTTGTAGAAATGACTAGTTAGAAAAGAACTTAGAAATTAACTCTATCATTTTAAAGGTTAAGGAGAAAGATTTAAATATTAAGGAGAAAGAAGCTAGATGACTTATCTGAAATTACACAGTGATTTAGAGGTAGATTTAGAACCTAGGTCTCCAGATGCCTTTCTCAAGGGTTTTCCCATAGTGTTGTAGTCCTTTATGAACTCCTGTACCTTAATGAACCAGGTCCCATAAGCTCACAGGGTCACCCTCAATTATCTCTGAAGTCTTGTGCCCATTGCTACCCCCAGATAGTCTACCTTTGAGACTTTTCATCACTGTAGGGAAAGTCCATTAACTCTCAATCCCAGAAAATTTCCTCTATTCAGCTAGTCAGAAACTTGTTCCTGATTCATGTAATATGTGAAGCAGCTACCCTTACCACGCTGGCAATGTCTGTTGAAGAACTGCTTGCAGTAGAGGAAGAAGAGCCCCAGGAAGGCCAGGGTAAACACCATGAGCAGACTGCTCACCAGTGCAACAAGTGTGGCCTCCTGAGGGGATACTGTGGGTACATCTGCCTTCACTAAGCTCAGCTGGAAGGCACCTGTGAGACAAGAAAGTGGGGGAGGTCAGTCACTATAAGCAGTCAATAGTCATCCTGACACTGGGTCTGGACTTCCTCAAGCCATCACCTTCTCCCTAGGGTCTTCCTCAACTAGGGCTGATAAATTGGTTCTACTCCTTTGTAGAGCAAGGAACAAAGTGGAGGGACTTGGATATATTGCTGATATGGTATAAATTAGTATAGATGCTTGAAGATTCATATATCCTATGGTCTTTCCATGTCACATCTAGTTATATAACCTAGAAAAAATAGAAACAAACTAAAATGTTCATCAGGGCACAGGATAAATCAATCATGATATAATTCTATAATGTGATATTATATAGCATTTAAAATAAAAGACTTATATGGTTCAATATAAATAATCCAGAGGGGAAAAGTAAATTGGAGAATATATAGTTTGATATCATTTAAGCAAAATATTACAAAATTAAAAAAATAGCATATATTGCCTATGAATATATATATGTATTTATATGTATCAAAATATGGTTGGAGAGTATGGCAGAGTCATAATGCTCACCAGTTATCCACACGCTTCTCTACATTTCCCATAGTAGTAAGGCCATCAGAGTAATTCTGGCCAATGAACTGTGAGTGGAAGTAATATATGTTACCTGCAGACTGAAATAGTTAACAGCTAATATGTCTATCTCCTCTATCTCTTACACTGTCCCACCAACCTGGAAGCCACATGATTTGATGGTATAGTCACAAGATGGAAGAAGACCTTTGCATAGCAAAAATCAAACTTTTATTATATTAAACCACTGAGATTTGGGAGTTTGTTATTGTAGTATATCCTACCAACAAGATATACACAATTTCATGTTACTGGTTGCCTCTGGGGAGGTTAAAAGAGAATGAAACTCAGAAAGGACAGAAAAATGAGCTCTGTTTAACCTGTGGAATCTTCATTTTAAAAAACATCTGAAGCAAATATGTATGATTTTAAGATTTATTAATTACTGATACTGTATAATTGAACATTTTTATTTTTTATATTTTTATGCATTTAAAATATTTTTACATGTTTGATATACTTCATGTTTTAAAAAGATATCACTCAAAAAATGTGAGTTGACATATAGACAGTAGATAGACAAAAATGATAGACATAGCATTTGTTGAAGAGCTGGTTTGGTGGTGCTGAATTCTCTCAGCTTTTGCTTGTCTGTAAAGCTTTTGAATTCTCCTTCATATCTGAATGAGATCCTTGCTGGGTACAGTAATCTAGGTTGTACATATAAATGGATAGTGATATGGGTACAGACTAGAACCTAGTACTTCAACCTGTTACCAGTCCTAACCATTAGGGACTCCTGTAAACTTCAAATAAATAATCCACAATTGTACAAATGTTATAATTTATAAAGTGCTTCTAACCTATTATTTCATTAGAAATAGACAGCATCCCACAAGGTATGAAGAAAAACAATTTTCATGACTTACATTTTTTTTCAGATAAGGGAAATGAAGTTCAATGAGTTACAATGATTTTTAGGTTACACAGAAAATATATTGTGAAACTATTATTCAAATATAACAGATTCCCTTGCCAATCTTCCCTATAGGAGGGAGGAGGAGGAGAGGGTAGGGGAAGATTTTACTGCCCCATTTTGCTGTCATCCTATGGATTGGGGAAGAAAGGGGAGAAGAGAACTGGATACACACACTGAACTTCAGAGGAGGGTGTCTGCTTTGTGCACGGAATACATTCTTGATCTTGTAGGCCTCCAATACGTGTCTTTTGGTAGAATCTGTGGTCAGAACAATAAGAAATGGCAAGGTGGTCAAACAAGCAATGTACTTGGATTGGTCTGTCTTGAACCATAGGCAGCTTCTAAGAGTCTTGCCCTCTAGGATGCCATCTCTCATTCTGACTCCTTTTGAGTCCTCTGCCTCTATGTCTGTTTCTGACTTAGAATCCCAGACTCCTCACCTCTTCCCCCATTCACCAAACCATATAGCCAAAAGAGGAACTAGTCTCACAAGAGAAGGAAACAATGCTTTGATACCAACTGCTTCCCAGTCTCTTTTAGATCTACAGTGAGATTTACCTTGAAACTTGGGTCTGAGTAAAGTATGCCAGCATGACTAAAAAAAAAAGCTGTTTACAACTCATCTATAACTGACTGTGTGCTAGGCACTTTATAGGAGGATCTTGAGAAGATACTGTTTTGCCCTCATGGGAGCTTAACCTCATCATTATATGGACAGTTAGAAAACTTCAACTAGGCTCTGAGAGGTAAGGGTCAGTGAGACATCCAAGGTATAGAGAAGGACCAGAAGAGCTTGACCTCATATAGAAGGCTCACCTGGGCAGACAGTTTCCACAGATGGCATTAGAGGTAGCTGTACAATTGGCCTTCTGGATACGATTGATGACAGCACAGGTGATGCAAGTCTGACATCTATGGTGTCCCCAGCTGCTTTTGTATCTGCGAGGAGGGCAGGCTGTGCAGTATGCATCTCCACCCTCTCCATAACCGCAATCCTGTAGAGAAATGTGAGTTACTAACATCACAGAGATTTTGAGAGAGGATTAGCTATGGGACTAGTGGACACTGCATATAGCAACATTTTGCACACTGCAAGTTGCAACCCATTACTGAATCATGACATCAATTTAAAAGGTTTCAACCAGTATTGAAAGTTGAAATAAGATAAAATAAAATAATGACACCAAATATCAGAGTGCAGAGCATGTACTAAAGCTAGGTATTTATATCAATCATCATAGGCTAGGTCAGTTCAGCACAGTTCACTTGCTCAGTTATGTCCGACTTTTTGCAACCCCATGGACTGCAGCACGACAGGCCTCCCTGTCCATCACCAACTCCCGGAGTTTACTCAAACTCATGTCCATTGAGTCAGTGGTGCCATCCAACCATCTCACCCTCTGTCGTCCCCTTCTCCTCCCGCCTTCAATCTTTCCCAGCAACAGGGTCTTTTCCAATGAGTCAGTTCTTCCCATCAGGTGGCCAGAGTATTGGAGTTTCAGCTTCAGCATCAGTCCTTCCAATGAATATTCAGGACTGATTTCATTTAGGATGGACTCGTTGGATCTCCTTGCAGTCCAAGGGACTCTCAAGAGTCTTCTCCAACACCACAGTTCAAAAGCATCAATTCTTCAGCACCCAGCTTTCTTTATAGTCCAACTCTCACCTCTATACATGACTACTGGAAAAACCATAGCTTTGACTAGACGGACCTTTTTTGGCAAAGTAATGTCTCGGGTTTTTAACATGCTATCTAGGTTGGTCATAACTTTTCTTCCAAGGAGCAAGCACCTTTTAATTTCATGGCTGCAGTCACCATCTGCAGTGATTTTGGAGCCCCAAAAGATAAAGTCTGTCACTGTTTCCACTGTTTTCCCATCTATTTCCCATGAGGTGATGGGACCAGATGCCACGATCTTAGTTTTCTGAATGTTGAGTTTTAAGGCAACTTTTTCACTCTCCTCATTCACTTTCATCAAGAGGCTTTTTAGTTCCTCTTCACTTTCTGCCATAAGGGTGGTGTCATTTGCATACCAGAGGTTATCGATATTTCTCCTGGCAATCTTGATTCCAGCTTGTGCTTCATCCAGCCCTGCATTTCTCATGATGTACTCTGCATATAAGTTAAATAAGCAGGGTGACAATATACAGCCTTTATGTACTCCTTTCCTTATTTGGAACCAGTCCGTTGCTCCATGTCCAGTTCTAACTGTTGCTTCCTGACCTGCATGCAGATTTCTTAAGAGGCAGGTCAGGAGGTTTAATATTCCTGTTTCTTTAAGAATTTTCCACATTTTGTTGTGGTCCCCACAGTCAAAGGCTTTGGCATAGTCAATAAAGCAGAAATATATATATTTTCTGGAACTTGCTTGCTTTTTCGATGATCCAGCAGATATTGGCAATTTGATCTCTGGTTCCCCTCCCTTTTCTAAAACCAGCTTGAACATCTGGAATTTCATGGTTCATGTACTGTTGAAGCCTGGGCTTAGAGAATTTTGAGCATTACTTCACTCACATCTGAGGTAAGTGTAATTGTGTGGTGGTTTGGGAATTCTTTGGCATTGTCTTTCTTTGGGATTGGAATGAAAACTGACCTTTTCCAGTCCTGTGGCCACTGCTGAGTTTTCCATATTTGCTGGCATATTGAGTGCAGCACTTTCACAGCATCATCTTTTAGGATTTTAAATAGCTCAACTGAGTTCCATCACCTCCACTAGTTTTGTTTGCAGTGATGCTTCATAAGACCCAGTTGACTTCGCAGTCCAGGATGTCTGGCTCCAGGTGAGTGATCATACTATCGTGATTATCTGTCTTGTGTTTAAAATATTTTCAAAGCAAAGCAATAAGCCAGAGATGCCTGGGGAAAGAAATTATGAGTGGAGACATATAATAGACTGCCTAAGAGAAAGCTGGAGAAGATTATTTGGGAAATTAGGACATTCAAAAGCACCACTATATTTGGAGGGGTAGTTTAAAAAGGTAGCAGCATGTCTATGGCAAGATACATGATTAGAAAAAAGTGGAAAAAACCCAAAGCTCACATGCAAGACCGACCTACAGGCTAAGTGCCAGTTTGGCTAAGTGTTGAAGGAGTGCTTCAGCACAGAGCCGATCTGCAAAGCCTGGGTGAGATATGTGGGGGTTTTGGGTTGTTATTGTTGTTGCTTGCTTTTAACTACTGGCACTCAAGGAAATCCCTGTTAAAATACTAGCTGAATATGATATAAATGAATACAGATTTCAGTGATCACATATAACAAGAAATACAGCTTTTGTGCAAATAGTTTTGTTACTGGGTAGGGAGAGGGAGGGTCCAAGGGGAACTGCCCTCATGGGCCTCAGTCCTTGTTGAGGACACAAAGAAGAATATGAGCTCTTAGCTGTGGCAAAATCAAGTTTGTTAAGGAAAGATCAGAAACAACACCTCAAGGGAGAGGTAGGCATAACCAAGAGAATCACTGGACCAGGAATGATGAAGTATCAGAGATTTTAATGGCGGGATGTTTACATATTTATTTAGATGGGCATGAACTGAGAATTTTGATTGATAGTTGCAAGTTACATACCAACAGGTTCTATTGTGCATATCTTTCCCATAACTCAGTCTGCTATAATAAGACGTATGTATGCCTGCAATGCAGGAGACCTGGGTTTGATCCCTGGGTTGGGAAGATCCCCTGGAGGATGGCATGGCAACCCACTCCAGTATTCTTGCCTGGTGAATCCCCATGGACAGAGGTGTCTAGCGGGCTACAGTCCGTAGGGTCACAAAGAGTCAGACATGACTAAGCAACTAAATATATGGCACATGTATGTATAGAGTATTTATGAATCCTTAATAGGTTAGAACTGGACATGGAACAACAGACTGGTTCCAAATAGGAAAAGGAGTATGTCAAGGCTGTATATTGTCACCCTGCTTATTTAACTTATATGCAGAGTACATCATGAGAAACGCTGGGCTGGAAGAAGCACAAGCTGGAATCAAGATTGCCAGGAGAAATATCAATAACCTCAGATATGCAGATGACACCACCCTTATGGCAGAAAGTGAGGAGGAACTAAAAAGCCTCTTGATGAAAGTGAATGAGGAGAGTGAAAAAGTTGGCTTAAAACTCAACATTCAGAAAACTAAGATCATGGCATCCAGTCCCATCACTTCATGGCAAACAGATGGGGAAGCAGTGGAAACAGTGGCTGACTTTATTTTTTGGGCTCCAAAATCACTGCAGATGGTGGTTGCAGCCATGAAACTAAAAGAAGCTTGCTCCTTGGAAGGAAAGTTATGACTAACCTAGATAGCATATTAAAAATCCGAGACATTACTTTGCCATCAAAGTCCGTCTAGTCAAGGCTATGGTTACTTTCCAGTGGTCATGTATGGATGTGAGAGTTGGACTGTGAAGAAAGCTGAGCGCCAAAAAATTGATGCTTTTCAACTGTGGTGTTGGAGAAGACTCTTGAGAGTCCCTTGGACTGCAAGGGGATCCAACCAGTCCATTCTAATGGAGATCAGTCCTGGGTGTTCATTGGAAGGACTGACGCTGAAGCTGAAACTCCAATACTTTGGCCACCTCATGTGAAGAGTTGACTCACTGGAAAAGACCCTGATGCTGGGAGGGATTGGGGGCGGGAGGAGAAGGGGACAACAGAGGATGAGATGGCTGGATGGCATCACTGACTCGATGGACATGAGTTTGAGTAAACTCCGGGAGTTGGTGATGGACAGGGAGGCCTGGCGTGCTGCAATTCATGGGGTTGCAAAGAGTTGGACACGACTCAGCGACTGAACTGAACTGAACTGAATAGGTTCCCAGCTGCCTAAGGTCACAGCTGTGTATCAAGGGGGCATGTACCAGGCCTGGAGAAACCCTATGGTTAGTTTGTATCCACTGTGTGCCTAGAGAGCATACACTGGAGTTGGAAAGGTCTCCGTGGTTATTTTGTACCATATCTGTGAGCTCTCCTTGGCTGTACTGTGGCATGTCTGGGGTAGGATTTAGAGATCAGCTGGCATCCTTTTCAGCTAGACCACCCCTCATTGCTCATGCCTATCTTCCTACCTGATGGTATGGTTAAAACTCCTAAACAAATGGACTACTATAGCCATCATCAAATAAAGTAACAACTGAAAACAGTTAACAATGGGGAAGGGGGATAATCTGATTTCCAGATTTACCACATTATAATTAAAACATTGAGCAGTTTTTAACAATGACAACAAAAAACACAAGGCATAAAAAGAAACAGGAATGTCTGACCCATTTAAAGTAACAAATAAAATTGACATAAACTGTTCCTGAGGAAGTCCAGACATCAGATTTACTAGACAAAGACAGAAAAGTACTTTCTTAAATGTGTTCAAAGAAAAACATGGAAAAACAGAGAAAAAGAATTAAAGAATATAATGAAATAAATATATGAACAAAATGGGACTATCAATATAGAAAAATTGTAAAAAGGAACAAAACAGAAATACTAGAATTGAAAAGTAAAATAACGGAAATAAAAAATTCACTAGAAGAGTTCAACAGCTGATCTGAGCAGGTTTAAGAATAAATGAGCAAACCTAAAACATGACAGTTGAAAGTATAAAGTCGGAGGAGCAGAAATTTAAAAATAAAGCAAACAAAACCTGAGAGACACCATCAAGTGGGCCAATATACACATTATGGGAGACCCGGAAGTAAGAGAGAGAGAGAAAAAATTTGAAAAAAAAAATTGAATAAATAATGGCTGAAATTTCTCAAGAAGAAAAGACATGAATAACACATTCACCATGCTCAACAAATATCAAGTTGGAAAAACTCAAAAAGATCCATATTGAGACATAAGCAAGATGTAGATAGTCAAAGACAAAATGAAAATCCTGAAGCAGAAGGAGAGAAACAATTTATCTAGTACAAGGGATCCTCAATAAATTCAAAGTTGATATCTTTTCAGAATCTGTGGAAGCTTGAAGGCAATAAGATGACATATTTAAGTGACAAAAGAA